ACTGCGGTTGAACGAGCCGTTGAATGGCGCAGTTCATTGTTATATTTTTTGCATGGTGATCCGAACCGAATTTAGATACAGTTTTCCAGTCCGAACTCAACTCCAGTGAACCCAACGTAATATCTGGTGAGCTCTCAGTTTCATCGCTGGACTTCGTCTTGTCGCTTCGTTGATAACGATTAGTTCAGACTCGGAGATTTCCCTTGCTAAGTCAATTTTTTTTGTATCGTACTCCAACTTGGAGTGAGTCAGTTCATCGTATTTGTTGAAATCTCGCATAATTACTGTATCTTCTTGGTTTTAGGTGTTTAATGCTGCAGTGGTAGCCTGCCTTACAACTTGAAGATGGTGGTATGTAGACGTTGTAAAATTATTATTTGAGTTGCCAGAGAACAGTTTCACTCCTTCCTGTTCAAAGTGTTGATCGCTTGGTTGGTTGCTTAATTTAATTTTCAGTTACCTCAAGCAATTTTGTATTATGAAGGCCAGTCCTCCACTTTTTCCTCTGCATGAAGGTCTAGGGCGAAGAGACTGTTGCATAGTCGGGTGGTGATTTGGGGCGGGTGTCCAAGGTCATAGTTTCTTGAATTGCCGCAATGAGAATTTGATTTTTATGCATAAAATTGCAGATAGTTGGAAATTTTGATCTGAGATCATTCGCAATAAGTTTCTTGACAAGGGATCTTTTTGCTTTCGGTACCAACTAAGGATGAGGCGTGAACTTTTGATAAAAAAGCTTGGCGCATTTATGTGGATCGAAAATTTCAATTGTTTCGTCTAACTTGATTCGTTTATTAGTTTTTGGCCGGGACGTGCAACGGGATTAAATTTTTATGGTTGAAGATAGTTTGCTGCTGTTTACCCTGTAGTCAATTGTATCCAGGAAATTAGTTCTTTTGTCTCTTGTGTAGTCCTTGATGGCCTTATCTAATTTCCGATTGATCTCGGATTATTAAAATCTTCAATTGAATAAGTGATTCTTCGCTTAGCCATTTCTGTCCTCTCACACTGATTGAATTATAATTCGGGATTTTTTTCATGTTTTTTTTTATTTGTGTTTCGTTAGAAAGTTAGGCGTTGTCGCAACATGCAGTTGTACTTGCACAACAAACCACTATCACAGTTTTTGGTAAAAATATTTGTGTTCGCCCTTTGCGAACTTTTTCCAATTAATGGGGTTAGTTATCAAGGTCCAGTTTTTTTCTGAATTCGAAACATATAATGCGAAATAAATAACGCAATGTATGTGCTCATTTTTAAAATCCTTTTCAACCTTTTATAGCAGCTGCTGACCGATGAATTGACTATTATTGACCGAAGTTTTTCTCATCAGTTGAAAATTGTAATCCTGAATGCTAGCTTGAAGTGATATTTCTGGGATATTTTCGTGAAGTTATGACGGTATTAAAATCGCAATTATGGACTAACAATTGCCCAGTTGGCTACTAGGAATTCATTTTTATTGTGTTGAGGCAAGTAAACTTGTCCAAATAATGCGTTACAGGGCGCCAAAAGGTATCAGTGTTGTTGAACTTGAATGTGGAGGAAAAGTTTTTGGTTTCCAAAATTTTACCTAATAAATGCAAAAAAGTGACAGGCACATCAAAAGACAGTCGGAATTTTCAGAACTTGCGGGTAGGTGTTTTCTGTTATAATAGTCGAAATAAAACTGCCCCTTATGATTCATTTTCAATGTGGGTTTAAAACCAGCCTGGGAGAATAAATTTTTGTAATGGGTTGACCAATAATGAACTGCATAGTAGTTAGATGGTTTGGTGTAGTCAGTTAAGATTTAAATAATAATAATAAATTTAATAATCATAACACAATAATAATCATAAGTTTCCAGGCGTAAAGTATACAAAAGTTCACAAAATGACTTTATAGTCAATGTAAAACTGCCTGGGAGATCATTTAATCTACATATCCGTTTTCAGGTGTCTTTGAATTGTAATCGCGGTAAGTCTAAATGAGAGAAATAGAATTAGGTAAGATCGAAAGATCGAGTTTTCGTTACAGCTTGACCCGAAGAACCTGCGGAACCTAAAAAGGTAGAAATATGAGCGGCTACATAAAAAGCTCGGAGTGCGTTGGATGAAAACGGTAAGTACATTCTATGGTTTTGCGAATTAAAACTAGTAGCTATTCTAAACAGCTGCCTTGACCTGGTTCGCGATGCAAAAGTGTGAATTGGTTTTTGAATAAGATGGTAATATTTTCATCAGAGTGATTTAAAATAAATGTTTTGTCAGTTAACCAGTCGAGAGCCTAACCCTGTGGTTAGTTATACAAGGTTAACTAAGCTAATTATATTTTACCAGAGGTCACCAGGCAGGTTAATGCGAACGTGAGTATTGAATTAGCAATTTAATGATTGCTGGGCATCATCAAAACCGATGGGCAACTACGCCAATTGGTTTTCGAATCAACGTTGGTAGCGCAGACATGACTCCTCGCATTACTGCACACAAATTTCTGTCTATTTTTGTGCAATGAAAAACTCAGCGGAAATCAGCAACTTTTTCTTTTTGGATGAACTTTCAACTCAAAATAGCCAACGCTACCAATAGAATCAGTTGGAGATAAAGAAAAAGGCCTTTTGAAACATCTGTAATCACATTAAACGGTGAGATTGTATTCTCAAGTGGTAAGCATGGTCACAAAAATATTCGTTACGAGCTCAAAAGAATAAAAGATATAGAAAACACGAAATAATTCGCGCGTTTTTCAGGTGAAGCGGGGAATCTCTTGGTTTAAAAATATTGGTTTCGAATTAGCTCCCAAGATGATAAAGGATGTAGAAATCCGACTCTAAGTGTCCCTTACTTTGATAGGTAAAGCTTTCTTCAGCGTGAGTCGGGTCATCGACTTGGACCATTATCTTTTTTTTTCTGAACAGGAGAACCTAGATAAATTTTAATCTAACAACGTATAACATGCAGATGGAGACCATTCAAGGCCTCTCCATCGTCAATCTATCAAATATTAACGTCTTATAAAAAACTTTTTGCGGGTTTATTAATCAAAGGAGGATAATTCCAGTGCGCTCAGGTGAAGTAATGTAAATTTCAGCAATTTAGATTGGCTCAAGGATACAGAAGATACAAAAGTACGTCTGTTGTTAAACTGTTTGTTGCCCGTGCTTTCATTGCGGAATTAGACATTCAAAAAGTCTCAAAGTTCTCTTCAATTCGATTCCAACTTGTACCATTCCAACTCTGACGATTCTCCTTTGATTATTACGTTGGGCATTTCGAGAACTTGGTCTTGGCTGATCAACCGTTTCCGTAAGTGGTCGGTCAATTTCCTCAATTTTTATCGGCAGGCACGACCAACAGTTCCGCAGTGAGCTGTCATAGATCGTTCCAATTTGGAATGGTTTGCGCTCATCCGGCTACTCATAAATTTGTTCAGTTCAAGCAGAAAGAACAAAGCTTGAATGTGAACAAATTTTCTCGATTCCGAGCAGGCAAGAGTGCTTCAAAACTGGCTTCGAATGAAAAAGTCAATGCCTATTGGTGAAAGTCTACGAAAAAAACTAAAACCATACCGTTTTAAAGTAACTGATGAAATAATTTTGGAACCTTGATATCTGGTTCGGTTGCTGGTAATTGTTAGCTCTTTCATACTTACAATTTAATTTGTTTCTCATGTTGTTTAAGTCGATATTTGGCGCACGTCCGGCATGCTCTCGCCGAGTCTAAGGATTGTTGCGGCCTCAATCGGCCGGAGCCTCATGTCTATTGGGGTCAGAGAAGTTGGGTTTTGGGGACAGTTAAAAAGATCTAGTGCAGTGTGGGGTGCTGGCCATTGGTGGTATTTACGGGGGACGTTCGGGTCTATCGTATTTCAAAAAGTGTTAAATTAGGGACTGCAGCCGGATCCTATTCGATCAAGGGTGCGTCTAGTTGAGCAGGAGAGTGTCAGTTCTGTTGGAGAGAAGACTGGTGGTCTTTGAGGGAGAAATTGTAGTTGAGGGCTTCATCACTGGCCTTGTGAGTGTAAATGTGCTTTAGAAGCTTTTTAAAACACTAGTTTACAAAACCGCTAAGCCGGCTAAAGTTTGTTATAGAGTTGAACTAGTTTGCCTTGTTAAAAACCAGTTGAAGCTCGTCTTTCTAAGTTTGTATAATGTTTTAGCGTTAGGTTTGGGGGGGGGGGGGGGTGGTTGGTGAGAGTGAAAAAAAAATG